GGTATAGGTATAAGTGTATATGACACATGTTCGCTCATAGGTGAAGACAGTGTGTGGGGGCTATAGGTATGTGTATATGACACATGTTCGCTCATAATTGTAGACGGTGTGTGGGGGCTATAGGTATAAGTGTGTGTGCTCTATAGGTATAAGTGTAGATGACACATGTTCGCTTATATTTGAAGAGTGTGTGTGTGCTATAGGTACAAGTGTAGATGACACATGTCCGCTCATGCACACAAGTAAAACGTTTCATCTTCTAATGTAGGTAAGATGACCAATGATCACGGGGAGTTTCCCAATCAGTTTGCCGTAGTCCTTCTTTCGAATGTCTTATGTTCTACAGAAACCATCCATCCCATAACATACTCTTATCTCAGTCATCGTGCACAGTAAGCCATAAGTCTGTGTGTAGCTGCCGTAGTCCTTCTTTCGAGTGTCTTATGTTCTACAGATACCATCCATCCCATAACAAACTCTTATCCCAGTCATCGTGCACAACAAGCCATAAGTCTGTGTGTAGCTGCCGTAGTTCTTCTTTCGAGTGTCTTATGTTCTACAGATACCATCCTCCCATAACATACTCTTATCTCAGTCATCGTGCACAGCAAGCCATGAGTCTGTGTGTAGCTGCCGTAGTCCTTCTTTCGAGTGTATTCTGTTCTACAAATATCATACATTCCCTAACATACTCTTATCCCAGTTATCGTGCACAGCAATCCATGAGTCTGTGTGTAGCTGCCGTAGTCCTTCTTTCGAGTGTCTTATGTTCTACAGATACCATCCATCCCATATCACACTCTTATCCCAGTCATCGTACACAGCTTGCCATGAGTCTGTGTGTAGCTGCCGTAGTCCTTCTTTCGAGTGTCTTCTGTTCTACAGATACTACCCATCCCATAACGCACTCTTATCCCAGTCATCGTGCACAGCAAGCCATGAGTCTGTGTGTAGCTACAAGCGTGCGTGTCAAAACTAACGTTAACATCTGTAGTTCAAATCCGTGGCCAGACAGCGACCCCACCCCACCCCAGTAGTGTTGCCATGCACATGCTGCACGCATACGCTCGACCGTACACATCTCGTTATCTCGTGTTCTGTGTCTGTTTCTGTGTCTGTGTCTGTCTGTCATTCCTCTGACATGCATTGCATTACATTGCATCTTCTCCAACATCCAACAGAATGGCTGTAGACACACTGTCTGCCGTTGGAGTGGCGACTGAGCCGTCTGATCACTTGTGGGCCGTTCGTATGCTCATGGCTATCAATTGCAATCAGGTGGGGTGGTGAAAGTGAGACTGGTCTTTGTCGCGTCGGGTATTTTATGGTTTAGGGTTTTCTGTATCGAGTGTTTTAGGGTTTACGGTTTTCTGTATCGGGTGTTGTGTTATACTTTGCGTGTGGGGGTTACAGGGCAATGGGTGTGTAGGAACGTGTGCGCTGGTGCTAGTGCAGACGTCAGTACATCGACTGACCACCACCTGGAATAGCATGCGCAAGGGTGTCTTTAATCTCCATGTACATGTATATGCACTTATAAAGATAGCCTTACATGCACTTGTTTAATCTCCATGTGCATGTACATGTACTTATAAAGAGTGCCTTGCGTGTACTTGTTTACTCTCCATGTACATGTACTTATAAAGAGTGCCTTGCATGTACTTGTTTGCTCTCCATGCATATGTACATGTACTTATAAAGAGTGCCTTGCATGTACTTGTTTACTCTCCATGTACATGTACCTATATAGATTGTCTTGCATGCACTTGTTTAATCTCCAAGTACATGTACTTATATAGATTGTCTTGCATGCACTTGTTTAATCTCCATGTACATGTACTTATATAGATTGCCTTACATGCACTTGTTTAATCTCCATGTACTTGTTCAATCTCCATGTACATGTACTTGTATAGATTGCCTTGCATGCACTTGTTTACTCTCCATCCTCTTTGAGAAACTCGGGTCTCATTGCCTATCCCACTGTCCCGCCACACTTTGGACCGTTCTAGTTCTACACACCACACACCGGTCGTGTACGTGCACAGCTGATTAGCCAGTACACCTGACACCCTAAACCCTAAAATCCAAACCCCTAAACCTTATACCTTCTGTAGTTTGGTATCCAACACCACACATCCATCGTGTATGCTCACAGTAGAATATCCAGTGCACCTGACACCCTAAACCCTAAAACCCTAAACCTCTAAACCCTATACCTTCTGTAGTTTGGCATGCAGCGCGAGTGCGATGGGCAAGTGTTTGCCACGGCTGTGTATCTTGTCCCCTCATTGTTCAACCACAACTGCACGCCGAATGTCTGGTAGGTATTCAGGTGTTGGGTGTAGTGTATGTATTCAAGTGTTGGATGTAGTGTATGTATTCAGGTGTTGGGTGTCGTGTATGTATTCAGGTGTTGGGTGTAGTGTATCTATTCAGGTGTTGGGTGTAGTGTATGTGTTCAGGTGTTGGGTGTAGTGTATGTATTCAGGTGTTGGGTGTAGTGTATGTATTCAGGTGTTGGATGTAGTGTATCTATTCAGGTGTTGGATGTAGTGTATCTATTCAGGTGTTGGGTGTAGTGTATGTGTTCAGGTGTTGGGTGTAGTGTATGTATTCAGGTGTTGGGTGTAGTGTATGTATTCAGGTGTTGGATGTAGTGTATGTATTCAGGTGTTGGATGTAGTGTATGTATTCAGGTGTTGGGTGTAGTGTATGTATTCAGGTGTTGGGTGTAGTGTATTTATTCAGGTGTTGGGTATAGTGTATGTATTCAGGTTTTGGGTGTAGTGTATGTATTCAGGTGTTGGGTGTAGTGTATGTATTCTGGTGTTGAGCGTAGTGTATGTATTCAGGTGTTGGGTGTAGTGTATGTATTCAGGAGTTGGGTGTCGTGTATGTATTCAGGTGTTGGGTGTAGTGTATCTATTCAGGTGTAGTGTATGTGTTCATGTGTTGGGTGTAGTGTATTTTTCAGGTGTTGGGTATAGTGTATGTATTCAGGTTTTGGGTGTAGTGTATGTATTCAGGTGTTGGATGTAGTGTATGTATTCTGGTGTTGAGCATAGTGTATGTATTCAGGTGTTGGGTGTAGTGTATGTATTCAGGAGTTGGATGTAGTGTATGTACTCTGGTGTTGGGTGTAGTGTGTGTATTCAGGTGTTGGGTGTAGTGTATGTATTCAGGTGTTGGGTGTAGTAAATGTATTCAGGTGGTAGGTGTAGTGTATGTATTCAGATGTCAGGTGTAGCAGTTTGCATGTCACCTGGGTCTCTTATCCGCCATCCATATACGTTTGATTTGTGAGTGTGTGACTAGCGTGTAGGACACCACAGTCACGTATACTGCAGTCATCGCCCTGTCAGTGTGTGCGCTGGAGAGGAAAGGATTTAGGGTTTTTAGGGTTTTAGATTTAGATAGTAATCTATATGCGTGAATTGTTATAGGATTGTCCATGCGTCTATTTTAGGTAGTGATATCTATGCGTGTGTCCACATAGAATTGCCATACCATATCAGTGTCAGTTTACTTTCGCCGGTTCTTTATGCTGTGTATGTTTAACAGTGATATGGAACCCACATCATTGGATAGCAAATCAAACATCTCGTTTTGTGGAAACACCCAAGTACATGCTGGGCATGGACGTTAGACCAGATTACCATAATCGGAATTGAAATGGAGTGGGGCAATATCAAAGACAAGACTTCTAGTGTTGAACAAATGTGCCAATAAAAATGTGGTCTGGCTAGGTTTGGAATGAGGATTAGATGACCTCATTCATTCATCTAACTACAATCATTCATTCATCTAACTGCAATCATTCATTCAACTAACTACAATCATTTATTCATCTGACTACAATCATTCATTCGTCTAACTACAATCATTCATTCATCTAACTACAATCTCGCCTTGACAATCCTCACAACACCCCAAGCTATCGGTCCGAGGGCAGACAGTTGATCTTGAGCACAAACCAGGCCGTAGAAAAGGGGGCGGAGTTACAGCACAGCTACCTACAACGGTCGAATCTGAGGACATACGAAGTCAGATCTGAGGCTCTGGAGAACTCGTACTTCTTTGCGTGTGCGTGTGACACGTGTGCCAACGAACTCACATTGCCCACAGAGCACGAAGGACAGGGCCACAGCACGCCACACAGCGATAGCAGTGGAGACGAGGCTGGGTGCTATTGGAACTCGGATCTGTCTGACAGTGACTGAGTTATCGAAGATAGTATATATATATATATATATATATATATATATATATATACGCAACACGAGTACTCTCCCACTCCAATAGTACAAAAGTACGCTCATGGTCTCTAGTCTTTTTCCAGCCAATTTTTGAAGGGTTGTTCATCACGAGCCTTAAGGTTTCAGCAAAACCCTAAAACATATCTGGATGAGGGCAAAGTGAGGAAGGCAGAGCCAACGACGAAGCGCTTTTGTGCCTACCCTCCGATCTAAACCCCTAAAAAACCCCTAAGGATTATAGGAAAGTAATGCATCAGTTCCTGATGATGAAATGGTGACGAAGCCTTTGTAAATTTGTAACAGGCGGTATTCACTTGCCAACATTGAGTTTCAAAGCTATCTAACTTAACTAGTGGATGTGCAGAAAAATTAGGCGCACGGGATTGATAGTACCTCATCAGAAGTATATACACTCGCCACCGAACAATGGAGACGATGCAATATAGAAACAAGACATCTGGAAGCGATGAAGAAGTTGGCGATCAATTAGGATTAAAAAATATGTCACTGGGTGCGCAGATGCATGAATACGCTTCAATACAAAGCAAATCAGAACAAACGACTCAATGATTGTCCCAAGCCACTGGACCGTCCACAACGACTTCAGACACACGTTTGAAAAGTGACCAGTGCTACAGTACGTGTGTGTAGGTGGTTCTGTTAGGGACCAGTTCGTCTGTGTCAGATGACACGCCTCTGGCGGATAACTCCAAAGGGATTGCATGGCCGCGTAGAAGGGTGGTACATCACAGATTAAGTAACACTCAATAAACCCTTGATTTTTTGGGGAAGTACAAATACTGAGTCACTTACCAGAGAATATAAAGTAGCACTAAAATGTACAAAGCCTTCGTTCATGAGAAGTATAAATACCCAGTCTCTTGGCAGAGAATATATAACAGCACTAAAACTTACACAGTCTTGATTAATAAGAAGTACAACTACTCAGTACCTTGGAAGAGAATATATAATCGCTCTAAAACTTACACAGTCTTGATTAATAAGAAGTACAAATACCCAGTACCTTGGAAGAGAATATATAATCGCTCTAAAACTTACAAAGCCTTTGTTCATGGGAAATACAAATATTGAGTCTCTTGCCACCACTGGCCAGCGATCATATATCTACCTACAAGAAGATCATATATCTGCCTTCTGGAAACGATCATATATCTACCTACAGGAAATGATAGTATATCTACCTACAGGAAACGATCATATATCTACCTACAGGAAAAGATCATATAGAAAAGCTCATATATCTACCTACAGTAAACGATCATATATTTACCTACAGGAAAAGAACATATATCTACCTACAGGAAACGACCATATAAAAAAGATAATATATCTACCTACAGGAAACGATCATATATTTACCTACAGGAAAAGATCATATATTTACCTACAGGAAACGAGCATATAGAAAAGATGATATATCTACCTACATGAAAAATCAACCAGTGAGCTATAATATAATATAATGCTATACAATATAGCAATGTAAGCTAAGCGAGGTGGTTAAAGCATAAAGCCAACTCGTGTTTACTTCAGTCCTCTTTATTGTTGCAGTCAACTGATTGCTGACACATATAAACTATTTTATAATTCATCGTTATGATTGCTGACACATATAAACTATCTTATAATTCACCTTTATGATTGCTGACACATATAAACTATCTTATAATTAATACAAACTTATAATTCATCTTTAGCCGCATCCGGCTCCGTCATCAAGCCGAGCGCCACATTCTCCTTAATCAACGCTGCCCTCTTCTCATTGGGCCAGTGCCTGTAGTAATGTGATGTAGTGTAAGGAGGTGAGGTGCGCGCAAAGGACTCATAGAAATCTGTAGCAACTAGACGCGTGTGAACGGCCTTGTGCTGTAGGTGACTGAAAAATAAGACAGCCCAAAGGGTACGTCAAACAGTCCAATACACACTGCATGGACATCCTCACGTTGGGAAGGAGCAGCACAGACACAACAACGAAGAAGCTTGGTTGGGGGATGGTATCTAAAACCTTAAAACCCTAAAACATTAGCATAGCACAAGAGTGCTTGTTGAATGAAAACGAAGCAGCACACAGCCTATACCAGTAACTAACAACCAAGAAGGGACCCCTAAACCCTAAAACCCTAAACCCCTAAATAAAGATCCCTAAACCCTAAACTCTAAAACCCTCAAACACACGCAGGGGTTAGTAGGCAACCCACTTAAAGTACATGCAATGCATTGAGACTAGGCCACGGTCCACCTCACACACACTCGCGTAGTCCACGACTGGGCAGTAAGGTTCGTATCGCACACTCCACGCAGTTCAAAATAGTTAAGGTAGGTGCAGGAAATAGGCAGGAACTAGGGGTTTAGAGGAAACAACCCCTAAAATTAGGGTTTTAGAGGAAAACAAACCCTAATCGTCAAGTGCGGGAAATAGTCTCGAAATACACATCCACAAGAGAGTAAGTCGTGTGCATTAATCAAGTGTAGCTAATCGTCTGAAATACACATCCACAAGAGAATAAACCGTATACACAAACGTTTCATACGCACCCCATATAGTGCACAATGAACACTCCCGGGAAGCGATTCTTGGGCAGACAGTTGAAGTCACACTCTTCGAACAGCTGCCAGTTCTCGCGTTTCGCATCGATGTGGCCGAGCAATTTGATCAACTGGTTCTGCTCTGCACCTGGAGATGTCACGAGAAGGAGAGGTGAGTGTACAGGTGAGTGTACAGATGAGTGTACAGATGAGTGTACAGGTGAGTGGACAGGTGAGTGTATAGGTGAGTGTATAGGTGAGTGTACAGATGAGTGTACAAGTGAGTGTATAGGTGAGCGTACAGGTGAGTGTATAGGTGAGTGTGCAGGTGAGTGTACAGGTGAATGTACAGGTGAGTGTACAGGTGAGTGTACAGGTGAGTGTACACACATATATATATATATGTGTGTGAGTGTACAGGTGAATGTACAGTGTCACCACTTGGCGCATGACTGATTGACTTATATCAGATAGTTTGAATGTCTCGTACACACCTTGGGTCAGATACAACGGGATAATACATAGGAAGGGGTGGGGACAGCATGGTAGGGTTTAGGGTTTAGTGTGAGTTGAAGACGGGTGAGGACTTGGTGGGTGTATGTGCAAATCAGTTAAACGGAATAGACAACGTGGTTGGTTAGATGGATGGATTAGAGTAGGTAGACCGTTTGTTGGCTGACCGAGTTGGTAGAAGTAGAGTCGGCACAGCGCAATGTGCTGAGTTTACTGCACACAGACAGAGCGTAAGCCATTGAATTGCGAAGACAAAGAGTCCCGGAGTGTATACTTTGACATGGGACGCACGATGGTGTAATGCCCAACACAATTGATGTTAAAAGAAATAATAGATTTAATTTTAAAGATATTATTAACATTAATATTGAAATTAATATCAGAATCACGCGGTACACACGTACGTTGTATACGTGTATAGAGCGGAACTCGCTAACGCAACCTGCCACTCCAACTATATTTTACATCCAGTTTTTGCGAATAGGCAGAAGAGAGATCTCGTCAGGTCCTATATACTTGCACTCTGATACATATACACACACATACACACATATATATAAATAAATACATACACACATACATAAATACATACACACACTCACACACATATA